ATCAGTGAATTCAGACCGGAAAAGGTCTTCGTTTCTATTGAACCAAGGTTCGAAGGTTAGGCAGACATCCGGGTCATACTGAAACGCACAAATGCTGTTCACCATCACCTCCGTTGATAACTGCTGCGTTTCATTGGTTGATATTGCTTGAAGCACAAAACGCCGAAGGATATTTTCGAGCAATCGTGACTGGCTTTCTTCAAATTGCTTCTGTCAATGCTGAAGTATTGCGGTAAGTTGCTTCACTGAAAACGACATAGTTCGTCGTATTTTCGTCATATGCAATCAAACCGTTACCTCCGTCGCCAGTTATTAAGCCAGACAAGAACAACAAAACAGAGCTATGTAATAAGATGGTTATTTACGTAACAGTCTCAAAATAACCGCAACAAGACGTGCGAGGCACTCGAGGTCACATGAACACAGAATCCAAATTATCAATCAATAATTATGGCAGACGGACGCACGCTTTTAGCGTCCAGCCATGCACATCATTTGGATTCACTGATCCATTCGTTAGGAGGTGCTCCTCCTAACACTTAAGGGGACCTTGTCTAAACCGAAATATAAATGGAAGGTACACGAACGCAGTAATGTTTATAGGATACCATGCAAACACTGTGGAACTATGTGGGTCAAACAGGGAGAAAATTGGTTACAAGAATACAAGAGCACAAGCGGGCTTGACATAAGCATTACGCATCATCTCTGGTCTCGGCACATGTTGATGAAGAGGGGCACAGGTTTGATTGGGACAAAACGGCAATTTGCTTGCGGGTAGAAGCGAGAAAGCAGGGAATGCCTTGAAGCGTGGTTTACTACAGAACACTCCATAACCTTGTGCCTAGACCTAGATCCGGTGTACCAACCACTGAGAAGGAAAGAAATTGGACGGATCAGAAATCACAATATTAGACAGGAAGCAGTGGCGGCCATACAATCAACCACCGGAGGTCACATGATATGTAGCGCAGAGGTCAAGTTCAAATGTCACTTGCGTATAACAAGAGCCGAAGACGCACTCAACGAGCTTGTACGCTAAACAGTGAGGCACTGACGATGTCACCTGGACTGGTGACGAAACGTCTACAGCACAAATGCTCAGCGCGGAGAACAAACGAAAACCGTTCAATGATTGACTGGCCAACGTTACAAGTCATGTAGATGTGTCTTGCCGGCACAGTGACATTGGCCGGCTGCTAAACGTCAAACGCTCTGGAGTCAACAGGATACCACCGGAAGTGTTGTAACACAGTAGACCCGCGTTGATACGTATGCTGCACTGCTTGGTGCAACATGTGTGGTTTGAAGGGAGTGTACCGCCAGAGCGTGTTTGACTGTTTGCCACCGCCGCACAAATGCAAAGGGAGCGAGCAGTTTTGCACCAATTATCATCATATCAACTTGATAAGTTGTGCGGTGAGGGTGGTTTCTCTAATCCTGCTAAACCGCCTCGTCAATCAGGTGGTTGGACTGCACGTGGAGGAAGAGCCCAATAGATGGTGTTCTCTACTCGTCACTTGCAGGGGAAATGCTGAGATCAACACCAGCTATTGTACTCACAGTTTGTCTAATCCACCAAGATATTTGCCACACAAACCGCGAGGCACTGTGGCTGGTGTTTGGTAAGTTGGGTTGTCCGAGTAACTTTTAAAGTTTAATTGAATGTCTGCACAATGGTATGCGGGTGATGCTGCGGATGCTTGGGCAGACATCGGATGAGTTTCAGGCTGTCTCCAGTGTGATGCAGGCTGTGTCTTGACGCCTGCCCTGTTTAATATTTATTTGAATGCAATGATATCTTGTACTTTTGATACTGCTTGTGATTACGGTGTCCGCATGTAGCACCGCATTGTTGCTGGTTTGCTGAGCATCCGTCGTTTCGTTGCGAGAACCCTAATAGGTGAGACAACCATACGCATTTTGATGTTTGGTGACGAGTCTGCGTTGTTTGCACACAACACGGATGAGTTTTGCAGTAAATGCCATCGATTCTCGTTTCGACAGCAGCCAAATTAGGGCTCAACATCAGTACAAGCTAGTCGCTTTGTCTTCTTCAGTCTTCAGCAGAAATGATATAAGTGGGCCTGCCGTATATCCAGCTTGCTTATGACAGTTTGGATGACGTTTCGAAATTTCGCTACTGTGAAGCGTACTTTCAACCGACCTGCAAATGATGAGGGAGCTGCGCATCCGCATATCTAAGTCGGCTGCTTCATTTGAAAAACCGGAATATTGGGCTAGAACGACCACCAGCTGACACTTGGTAGGAATATGATGGCATGCAAGTCAATGCTTCTGTCCGTTCTTCACTAAGGCGGCGAAACGTAGACGCTCTACTGTAAATATGTCGGTTATTTGGAACGCTTTCGACAAAAGGTACTTGCATCAACTTCTGCGCATCATTTGGTGTGACAAAGTTGCAGACCTGGGATTGATCCGCCTCAGTGGCGTTTATGCAGTGGATTGCGTATTTCTGCTGAAGCACCTGAGATGGATCGAGCATGTTTGTTGCAATTATTGACCACTTCTTGTTTGCTTCTTGGCCGGCTGCGTGCAGTGAAGCTGAAGACAAAAATTCGAATCTACGTTACCAGGACAGGAGCATTGTAAGTTTAGAATAAATTAATGCTGATTTTAAGTACTGGGAATCGGAGGGAATGGATAGGCGCCAATGGCGTGAGCTAATCAAGTGGGCTACTGCGTGATTGCATTAGGGAGCACTATTGCGTGCGGAATAGAACCGGTGGGCATGGAAACGACAGACACCGACGTAGTCTAGCCCGTCGACGTCAAACGAATGGTGCTGTAGCCCAAGTGGTCGCGAGTGCCTGAGTTAAGCCGGCTTGATAAGCCGCCAGTGTGACCACGCTGGTCCAACACCCAAGAGATGGCGAGTCGGCTGAATTGGTAATTATCAACACAATGCTTAGTGAGTACACTGCGACCCACTCAATTTACTAACCGAGGCCACTACTGCGGCCGATGTGGCACGTGTGCTACATCATCATCGCCGCATTCCGTCTGTACGTGTGCCTACATCTCTATCTTCTTTCATATTCTATGTTTGCCTTTTGATATTCCCAGTGTGGCTGCGCTTGATGCGAATGTTGACAAAGTACCTATCTGTCAAATAACCGTTACATTGATTACACTGGCTACCGGAGACAGTTGCTTGTTGCTTGGAGAGACGGAGTGCACGGTCTTCGAGTAGATGCTAAGCCCAAAGCGTGGTTCCACGCATAAAGTGTGGAAATGGCTACGGCCCTGTTACCGCTTTAGATACATCTGGCACGCATGATTCCTCAATAAGACTGCTATGGGTGCTGCTGCTGTGTATGCTGAAGGGGTGTGGACCGGAGCTATTAATGAAACCTAGTTCTCATCTGCATGCCTCCAGCTCTTATTCCTTCGGGTTTTCATAGGATAATCATATATGGTTGACGACATCCGTATCCGCATTTGTATCACTGTGGCCTTCATAGGACAGCCTCCGGACGCGTGCGCCTAGAGAGGAACCATGGTGGCTTGTGCTGTACCACCCACATCTCCATCCACACGCCCCATTTCCAGTATAAACCCGAAGGAATAAGACCGGAAGGTATGCGGATGGGAGACACGTTTCAGCAACGGAACCGGCTCACAATTGTTCACAGGCAAACACAAGCACGCTGTATTTGGGGTACCAATCACACACAAGGCAGTGGCTTGGCCGTAATCCGCTCCACACTGGAAGGAATCATTCTTCTAGCCTAACTAGTCCACGGGAACCATACACCCCGTCCCCACCAGCAGCGACCAACTGTCTCCCGGAGTCAGTATGGAGGAGGTAGTGGGTAACAGACAGGTAGGTACCTTGTAAACGTGCACATCAAGCGCAGCCACACCGGGGTTGTTAAACAACAGCCGATCACTTGCAATGATAGTATGAAATAGTATACATCGAATAAAGCATTGAGATCTGATGACATAAGTTTTCGCTAAATGAGCATATGAAATAATTTGCTTATCGACAAATCGGCGATGAATTCATGCTGACTGCAAAAGCTATTTAAAAATGTCACAAACGCGAAAAAAATAACGAAGTTAACAACCGTTAGCTTCTGCGACGTGTGCAAGTTAATAGAAGACTATTAAGGCAGAGGTTAAAATGAGGAAAAATAAAAGCATCAAGACAAGATAGCATAACAACCACCAGAAATAAAGAAACTCAGCACGCAAGCACGCGGTCAGTAAACCGAGTGAAAGCGCATGCATCGTATTTACCAAAGCTGCGCCGATTCTGCTTACGTTCTCAGCAGCACCCATCGTCGTGCATATACTGCTCCCGAGAGGCCTCGCTCGTGGCTTACCAGACCTGCTTGGCTCATCACTGACGACCGCATGTGCTACAGCCTCATGCGCTCGACGTCAATGGAGTACACTCCATCAGCGCCTGCAGCTTCCACATAATGATATATATATATATATATTTATATATATGGGTAATAGATAACCAGCTGCTTTTGTGAGGATGCCAGTGTTACAAATCCCCTACACATGTATATAATCTCTAAATCTCGATCTCAGTCATGGGTTCAATATTAGCTTAACCTTGACATAGTACTGCATTGTTCATCAGTATTGTCCAATTGAGATTATTCACAAGCTCGAGGAGGTTTCGTAACAGCAAATGGTTTCGTGTACACAGTGTTCCAATAACCGGACAGCTTACACTACATGTGACTTTAGACGGTGAAATTAAACAAACAACAGCTCAGTGGTCTCATCGGATTGGGTGATTTAGACTCTCATTCTAAATGGTTAGTCCACCAACTCGCCCTCAAGTATTTCAATGAAGTAGATTGGCAAACGGACAACAAAGTATACTCACTTGTCGCACACCGTACAAGGCTATGGGTGTACACGACACAACTCGTAACCTGACCTACTTGTTTAAGAACCGTTATTCTATACTCTCCATTTCAGACTGGTTTAAAAAGAGTGGGCTTGTTCACATCATGTCTACCATGAAGCAACCACTCGAGTTTACTGATTTTTACGCCGGCCGTTGCAGCAACGGAACTGTGAGCACACAATCCGTCAGATGTGTGATAGCATCCATTGCAGGGGGCCTGTCCGCGTACGTGTACCCCATTGTGGCCATCCTCAGTTTGTGCTCCTACCTGTTCATCATCGCCGTTCTTCTTATCAACCGGTATCACCTCACCAGACAACTCATTTATCTATTCTCCATGCTAATGGCAAATTTAATCACACAAATGCTTCACGGTTGGCTTTGGCTCTTCTCGCTGAAGGGTCTGATCTACGCCACGCATTCACGCTCCCACTTCTCACCAATGTACCTTACAACTGCCTGGTGTACTGCATTCAGCATGGTATACATGTTCACTATGACGCTGAACTGCAACTTGCTCGCTTTGGCCAGCTTGGATCGACTACTAAGTATTCACTACCCGTTACGACTAGCTCGAGTGCAGCTGCGCACCGCGTGGATCGCCGTGTCTCTGACCATCGTGCTCACAGCCTGCTACGTGCTCCCTCTTAGTGCGTTCATCAAATGGACCACGTATGGACCCGCTCTCGCCTGTTGGTTCCCTCGTGATCAAATTGTGGTCCAAACACTAAGTGTATTGTTTTCCAGTTCGTGCATTGTCCAACCCCTTCTGGTCAGTGCTATGAATCTAGCCTTCTACCTGCGCCTCCGTGCGCTCAATCATAGACGCGTGAATGTGCAAAAGAATCACATGGAGAGGCACCAGATGCGTTACACCATCGGCTTATTCATTCTTTCTCTGAATTACATCGTCTTCTCGATGCCAATTGGCGTTACGACTCTTATCCTCCAGAGCATGTTATTCAGTGGTTTGTCTGATTTACTGGTGATTGTCATCTTTCTTGACTTTACTGTAATCGCATGGAATTTGTTCTTTTTGCGTGACTTGTTCGACGTGATGATGATGGTTTTGTACATCCCTATTATCCAAAACTATTTGCTGGCGATGATTCCCAGACGAATGAGACCTGTCACACGTAAGGTCTCTCAACTGTCATCTACGGACGCACACTAGGTCGAGACCGCTTGTGCCCCTGTGGTGCCCCGCCCTGCATCCTGTATCTTCTATTTCTTCTACGCTATGTTATACCACGTTCACACTGTCCCCAGTCACAGGGGCACTAGCCATCTATCCATTTGCTACGTTTCTTCACTAGCACTACTTGACAGCGTCTGGTATTCATCGACGTGTACTTTATGATGCCTCCTACACACCGTTTCATGATACCGAATTTTTCCAACACAATAACGACGAGTTCAGATGGCTCACACCTATAAGCCAGTTAACCAAGATCTCCAACACTGATCTCGAGACAAAGATTTAGATGTACTGATCCATGAAGACCTTGGTTACTCAGAGCAATCTGCATCAGCATTAAAAGGGCATCCGAAACTTGTTTTTAAAGCGAGCTTTTGATCACTTTGACAACCATTTTCCCCAATCGATTTTTGTATACATACAGTTGCAAGTGGAGGATGCATTTCAAGCATCGCAGACACGGCTGAAGCAGGAGCTCATTCATTGTCTTGGAAAATCCTTAACGTCGGACTACCAAAAACTTACCTTACGAACAGCGCCTGAGTATTTTGTGAGTTTTCAGTGGACGCTAGTGGCGTTTGTATGATGATCTTATCATGCTTGCCTAGCGTTTACGCAACCCCATTCACTCATGTTAACGTCTGCTATAGCTCAGCCGTAACAACAGACGGAGAGGCCACCATCTCATACTGGCAGAACACTACAGGCGGCTGGAGTATATATGGAAATTCTTCTCTCCATGTGTTTGCCACAAATGGAATTCACTCGCAAAACCAGTTATTTCAGCTCCTACATTAGCTGCGTTCAAAGATCGTGTCGACGATGCGCCGTTCACTTTACACCAAACCATGTAACGCGCAAGTACCCTACGCTCGTTCAAAAACACAAAACCGGCAATCCACACCCGTTTTGCTGGGAAAACCAGGCGGTGACATTTCCAGTTGCATTAAACCATTTGTGACCGATTCAGACGGACAAAAGTTTGCTTGGCTAGTCCACTGTTTTTGGTTGTATTTCTTTTGTTATTGCAAATCCACACCCACCATTCAGCGAGACATATTAGACTTCGGCTGTTTTATCTGCCATATAAAATTGACCATTGACTATAACTTCAGTAACATTGATGCATTCGCTGCAACAAAGGAATTGGGGTCATCTCAATCAAATAATAAGTCTTTACAACAAACCAAATGAAGGTAGATAGTTTTCCTATTTATGTCAATCGGAGTTAGATATGAAGGAGTTTCCGTCACACTGCATTCAACACTTATTTACTCATAGCGTACTCCGACAACGCGAAGTGAGAGTCTTGTTCCGGTCAGTTAATTCATTCGACAATGCTAGCCAGGAGACGCGTTTCGCCTAGACACACTTTTTCTTGCCTTTGCCGATTCATTGTATTTGGTTGCATTTTTAACCAAAGCTGTTTATACCTTAGTGATGTGTTCACCACCGTGCCCCACAGCCCGTCTAAATACAGCCGAAGTACATGGCGTGAGACTCAGATGTTTACAATGCGGTTGGCCCGTATGGCTATTGGTAATATTCTGCATACATACATTATCAGGTGGTTATAATTTATCTGCCTAGACCGTATTTTCGTCATTTAGGGAGCAGTGCAATTCTGGCACCGCTCATACCGGTTGGCTGGTGGTTCGAGGCAGACATACAACACCTTGGAAGAGCAGATGATTCTTCAGATCCACAATGAATGCTAGAAACAGTAATCTCTATTAAATCAGTGCAAATATGTGTTACCAGTTCGCCTCACCAGTTGCTGTGTTACCTCCTGAGTTACAGGATTTGCTGTGTCAACTACGTCCTTCTGCATCTGGTGGCCAATAAGTCTGCTCACCAGTAATCCATTCTAGTTGTGATTATTTATTGGACCAGTGGACTGTAAACCAGCGGCGAATATCGCATGACCAACTGGCCATTGAAATAATGTTATCAGTTCGTGGAAAGTAGTAGGTTGAGCATAGTGGTATGTGATTAGATGAAAAATATGAGAATATGTGAGTTAAGTAGCTTGATACGAGTCCGAAATAGCAAACAGGCGCTGTGACCATGGAAGCTTGACTCAGCGATGGTGTAGAGCGTTTGAAATTACACAGGAGACAGAGTCACTTAAAGGCTTCAGTCAGGGCTCAGACGGCTTGCCTCAGATTGCTAATGTCGTCTCTCTATGAATTTGGTTAACTTTTGTTTCCCCTCAGCTCGGCAAGTTTCCTGTGTGCCTTACCACAGCAATATCTTGGTGGGCAGGCAGTTAAGTCATGAAACAATGGATGTATACGGGCTAGAGGGCTACTGCACGTCACGCTCCGTGAAACCTCCTGCACGAGTTGTACAGAGTTAGTTAGAGGACAGTTTCTGACTGTCGGCCGTGCGAGAAAAACGCACTGAAATGAGGTTAAATCCTTAACCACCTGTGTCTTAAAATTCGCACAAACGGGCGAAGTACCTTCTACTGTAGCGCAATTCACTTTCCCTCCAACGCAAGAAGTGGCTGTTAGATAGGCGTGGAATTGAGCCATTTCCAGAATGCCTGCATCGTTGCAGCTGGCACGTTTGTTTTGAGAAGACCATCCTTTTGCCGATGTTTATGGTGTCGGCGAAAGTTTTGCTAGAAGACGAGGGAATAATGCCACCCCGCCAACTTCCAGTAACATCCTCAGACCGCTTTTGTAGTTATACTTAGCTTTCCAACTGGCAGTAGTATAGGTGTTGCGACCTAACTCAGTGACATCCTCCACCAAATTGGTATAATTTATCTTGTTATTGTCTGGCAATTTCTCTCTGAGGATGTGCATGGAGCCCACGATGAAATTTTGCCATCTCCGCAATATCCGGTGTATTGCGTTCGATAGAGGCGTCAGGTAGTTTGTATTCTGCAATTGCAGATGACCAACAAATCAACTCTTCTGCACGCCTGCATTCCCCTTGTATCAGTTGGTACGTTTAAGTTAGACTCAGAACTTTCACACACACCTTTGTTGTAATGAAGAGAAGATGAAGCACATGATTCTCCATAGTTTATGTTCATCCATAGATGTTGTAGCCCAACTTACCCGCTTTAAACCCTGGATGTTTTCAGCATACGCTGTGCACCAAGCAAGATACGGCACATCTAAAGCCTGTTGTTCCCCAAAACAGCCCGATCAACAATGTGACAATGGGTAAACGGCTAAAGCTTAAAAGAGCCTATAGGATGGTCATGATAAAAAATATGGCAAAATATGGCAAGTGTCAGCAAAAGTAACTTCACACGGACGGCCTAATCAAGGTATAGGTTCTAAAAACTGTAAGTCTACTGTAATTCCATAAATAAATAGATGAATTGTTTATTTCTCGACTATACGAGACGCGGCTCAGTTTGTTGGTCCGAGTAAATCGTACCATTGGATCGTGAATGTGTTGGTTATTCTTGTTAATGGAATAGTACGCCTGATCTTAGTTTGGTGACGCAAGCGTCATTTAACGTAGTCAGGCCGACTCCCAAAAAGCACAGTATCAATCACATGGTGGTTGGTTGGTTGACTTCGCAAAGATATTGCAAATAAGCAATTTTATGTCATTCATATTTTGGCATATACTCGGCTTACGGTGTAGTTAATGGTTTCAGCGGAGTGAGAGGTAGGTAACTAGCGACCGATGCGCTGTATTAGAGAGCGGCTTGAGCTACAGTAACTGTTGTTTCACTATGTAGAATGACCAATACACCAGCGTCGTTTGTATGGGATCAGTGGAACAATGGAACAATGGTTTATTACGGGTAAAAAAGCATCGCTTAACAAGTCCCGTGGGATGGAAATTATTGCGAAAATCAATTGCATAATAAAGTGAAAAGCGTTGTGGTGAACTCACCGTAGACTTATGTGGAATAGCGGAGATGTTCGCGTATTAAACGTATAAATCCATAAATCCATTGGTTAGGCGTTTGGCAAGAAATCGTTTGATTGCGTTTTGTAGCCTCTGGCTAACAAGTCATAAAATGAAATGTAAGTGAGACAATGCATCGTCAACACGTTTTTTAAATATCGCCAGATTGGGAGCAGAGACGACATAATTAGGGAGGGCGTTCCAAGGCTGGCACACGCGGAAGGAAAAGAAATTTCTACGGCATTCAAGCCGGCTATACTGAATTGTCAGTTTCAGAGGGTGACCTCTTAGTTTAGTGTTGTGGTTCAATTCCAGCAGCGGACGGCAAATGTGGTTTGGGTTCTTCAGAATCTGGTAAACCATTATGAGATCCCCCGCAAAAGCCGATATCGACTGCTGTAAATTCTTAGAGATTTCAGCCTAAGCTGATAGGACAGATGAAAGAGGCCCCTGATGTTCTTGGTTGCCCGTCGTTGAGGAGTCTCGAGAGCAACGAGATCCTGTTTCTGCCACGGCTGCCACGCCTGAATAGAATATTCCACGTGAGGTCGCACGTAGGCGTTAAGCATTTGAGGAAAGATTGAGGGTTCAAACCGACCGAAGGCTCTGCGAAGAAGGCCGAAGTGTTGATTTCCGGTTCTCGTCGCCTTCTCTGCTTGTTTTGAACACCCGAGATCTTCCTGTACCAATACACCCAGGTCACGCTCCTGAGAAACCTTCGCCAAGGTGTGGTCTCCAATCTTGTAAGCACTCACCGGCTGGTGACGCAGATGTATCACTTTGCACTTATCTATGTTCACTTGAAGCTTGTTCCTCTTTGACCATTCGTAAATGCAATCTAGGTCATGTTGGAGTAGATCCTGATCTGGCTTGTTTCTAATCGCCCGCCATACCTTGACGTCATCTGCGAAAAGCAGGAAGTTTGAGGAGATGACTCTTGCCAGGTCGTTGATAAACACCAGGAATAAACGCGGTCCCAGCACTGAGCCTTGTGGGACACCACATTCCACCTCAATTGGGTTAGAGAGTGATCCCCTAACACGTACTTGAAGCTTCCGTTGGTAAAGGAAGCTGCCAATCCAACCAAGTACAGG